CTGGGCTCTGTTTACGACACCCCCGGACGCTTCCGTTCCCCCACAACGGGAAGACTTGGGCACGCTTTGAAAAGGGTCAGAAGAATGGACGAAGAAGAAACCCCGCGGCTCTCTCCACGTCGCTATGTGGAACGCTGCCCTGTCGCGGCCAGCGGCTTTTCTCTCTTACTCCGAAAAGGGAGGAAACATGTTCAGTTCGGGAAACTCTTCGTTGCTGTAGCTGGTTCCCTGTTCCCCCAGCATCGATAGCATATCCTAGAAACCCAAGAAGAACAGTAATAAAACGTAGACTGGAATAAAATCATTACGTACCACTAAATTGGGATAACTTGTGGAAGCCCCCGGGGATAGAGAGATTTAGGAGACTGACTTGCTGCTGCAATCAAGCCACGAAAACGATCTGTTTTTCCAACTTGCTCTTCCTTTTACTGCCTGCCTCTGCCACGTAAAACCCCTCCAATCTCACCACTTCCCTTTGATGGCCTTTTACCACCAAAATGTCTTCTTTGGGAATGACCCAGAAGGTCCAATGCAGACGTTTTCATATTTCTTCTCTTACCTCCCCCTGCCCTGCACCCACACACAGGGGCCACGCTCAGCAGCTCCACTGGAAGAAGAGCTTTGGTGGGAACAGAGAGGAAGCCACCCAGCCATCCATCCAACCCAGGATAAAAGCCAACTTTGGCCTGGCTACCGGAAAGGGAGGCCGGGCGTTGCCGAGCAGGGGCCGACTCACCGGGAAGACCTCCGGCTGGCTAGACTGCTGCTGGATGTGGGACTCGCCTGAGCTCTGCCACTGGGGCCAAACGCCCACGCCTTCTGCTGTGCGTGCCTGGAAGGGGGCCGGACTCTGCCCGCTCTCTCCAGCAGCTGAGGAGGGAAGGAACCCGAGAGACAAAGGCCTTTTCGTCACCTCGCCAAGAGCCAGCTGTAGGCCAGGGAGGCACAGTCGAAGGGCCTCAGGTCCTTTCCAGCTCCCCAATGAAGGCCACCTAACAAGGATCGACTGTGAAGGCACTGCGGTTGCAGGAGCAGGGCTTGGCTTCAAGGCTGACCAGGTTGGGAAACTGCTTGACTGAGACAGGCTATAGGAATAGCTGTGGGAAAGCCTGACAGCGTTTTCCATCCCCTCCCCTGCCCGCCCCCTTACAGGAAGAAAGTCATGGTGGGGTCCCTTTAACTTCCTGTCTAGCACCCTCTTCTTCTTCTCTGGGGCTTAATTCTCTGAACAAAGAGGCACCTTCCGATCACATCCAGTTGGATGGAGCAAGATCTGCTCTGCGTCTGCCAGCAGGGGAGGAGGTCGGGAGGCAGGTGTCCAAATTTCTGCCTAGAGGCTCTCTGCACGCCACGAGTTCGGCTTCGGCAGGTGAGCTGCAAGGGGGCCAAGCCCGCAGGTGGCTCGAAGGGCAGCAGAGGGACTTACCGAAAGGGGCGTTCCGGCCAGCAAGGTTTGAGTAGGGAGCCCCGGCTGGCGAGGCCGCAGAACCAGGATTTGGCATGGGGCTGAAGGAGGACGGCGTGGCCTGGAAGCTGCCCATGGCGAAAGAGGACGGCCGAGTCTTCACGGGCTGGGAAGCTGCCGGCTGGAGAAGGCAAAGTGGAGAAAAGAAGGGTCGATCAATGCAGAGAAGAGGAAAATGAAGGGGCGTTTATCGCAAAGACTAACACTTTCGTCTTGAGTTATTTGCTTTTCAGCTTTTAGGGAGGCAAAGGGCCGCAGGGAGGTGAAGAATGGCCAAAATCAAAGCCCCAGAAATGGGGAGCTACGTTGGGATGGAGCCCATGCTCAGGAGAAAACCCTTGGAAAAGTTTTGTGGGCCAGTGGCCCCTTGACACTCCAGGAACACCTGAGACACAAGTTGTTGTTGGGGGGGGCAGTTGCAGAGGAAGAAAGAAGAGTTGGAGGAAAGCCAGAATGCAACGTTACTTGGGCCGTGAAAGGTGGGCGCGATCCCGAAGTCCAGGCGGTTCCAGAGACCTGACTGGGGCTGGCATGGCGAGAGAGGTGCGCCAGGACGGGTCCGGCTCCGGTTGAGTGGGCCTGGCCAGGCTGGAGGACGTTCACGGGGGGCGCCAGGGTGCTGCTCCTGGAGCGGAAGAGTGGCCCGGGTGAATGGCAGAGCAGAAGGAAAACCCGGCTCAGGAGATTTGGGGGTCCAGCTGGGAAGCCCCCAGCGAGCTCTGCTGTTTTCCACCAAGAAGACGCCACCGACCGCAGCTGCCTAAGGAGAAGCCCCCAGAAGCCCCTTCCTCGCCCATCCCCATAGCCTCAGCCACTCAGGGAGGGGATGCTCCAACCCTGCAGGAAAGGCTGCTTCACCGCAAAAGGACAATGTCAAAAGACAGACAGACAAACGCTGGGCTTCTCCGCTCACCCTGAATTGGCAGAGCAGCCACGGCCGGGTGTGAAAAATAAGCCTATTTTTCTATCCAGCCTGACTGACAGCCCGGTTCCCCCAAGTCCTAGCGAGCGTGGGGGGGGGGGGGGGGGGATCAGGATGAAGCAGAGACGTGCCCGCAGAGGAATCATGGTAGAAATCTGGACTCTGAGCCTTACCGGAAGCTCTCGGCCGGGCGTGAAGCCACAAAGCTATTCCCTGGAGAGAAGAGTGACTGGCTGGTGGGCACCGAGCTGGCCGAAATGGGCTTTGTCTGGTCTGCAAAAGAGGAACCCCGAGGGCAGGGAATCAGCACCAAACCAGGGAGGTTTTATACAGGCATATTTGGGGAAACATTCCACTGAAGCAATGTTTCTCAACCTTGGCAGCTTTCAGACG